AATAAGAACACACAATGTTTTCAAAAATAGATATCATGGTTAGTAGAGGCCGATCTTTGATCGGGCGAGCGGGGGTGCTCACGAAGTGACCTTCCCCAATCGTACCCAAGTTCCCGAGCCGAGGCAACTTTGGTGATGACGGACATGTGGCCTTTGGCACCGAGTCAGGGTTTCCTAAATTTCCCATTAAAAAACATTTAGGTGGCGACTCTGTATCTAGCAAAGCAGTCCATGTTTGGCACTTCTTTCAAAAAATCTGTTTTTTCTCAAAACGATTTGCTGGATTTGGACTCTTTGGTTCAGACTTAGAACCGTGACAAATTTGAGAGTCCTGAGCTGTAGTGACCCCAAAATGAATAGAACGGGAGCTCGTTCCTCCCGGGGCGTTCGGGGACGTCTACACCGGCATCGGCAAAATAGGTGCAGATGCTAACTGGAAGGGCCGCAGCCCTGAATAGATTCATTAGCAAAAGCTCAGACAAGTGCAGACCTTTCTTCATCTTAGTGAAAAAAGCCACAGACTTCCTGTGGACCGAAGAATGCGAGGTCGCCTTGGCCGACCTAAAAAAGTATCTGACCACAGCTCCAGTCCTTTCAAATCCAGAACCTGGAGAGGAGCTGTTTTTATACTTAGCCGTTTTAGAGCATGCGATAAGCGCAGTAGTAGTCCGAGAAGACAAAGGGGAACAAATGACTATTTACTATGTAAGCAAAACTCTGGCCGATGCAGAAACGAGGTATCTACCCTTAGAAAAATTGGCACTGGCTTTGACAATGGCTTCAAAGAAGTTGAACCATTACTTCCAGGCCTATAAAATTGTGGTGCTAACAGAACACCCCTTGAAGTCCTTACTACAACAAGGAGACCTGACAGGAAGAATAGCCAGGTAGGCAGTCACCCTAGGCCAGTATGACCTGGAGTACAGGCCAAGGACAGCGATCAAAGGTCAGGTTCTGGCCGACTTCGTGGCCGAGTTCACGCCAGAATCCATCGAACATCGGGCTCCGTTGAGCCAGGGTGAACGATGTCCAAACAAGCAAGGAGAAGCTCAGCCAAAGGCGAAAGAACAAAGAAAAGAGAAAAAACTCAGACCCTGCAGCATTTACATCGGCGAATCCTTTCGACTGTTCGTTGATGGGAGTTCCAACCGACAGGGAGCGGGGGCAGGAGTAGTTTTGATATCTCCAGATGGGGAGATAATAGAACAATCGATTCGTTTGGGGTTCAAGGCCTCAAACAATGAAGCAGAATACGAAGCATTCATTGCAGGGCTGAAGTTGGCAGCAGCAGTGCAAGTAGATGAGGTAATAGGTTTTTGTGATTTACAACTGATAGTTAATCAGACAACAGGCGAGTTTGCAGCTCGAGATGAACGAATGTCGGCCCACGCAAAGGAGGTCATCAGGTTGTCAGCCTTGTTTCAGAACTGCCGACTACTTCAGGTAAGCCGAGACGATAATAGCCACGCCGATGTGTTGGCCAACTTAGCTGGTGCAGCACAACCTGGAAAAACAAGGACCATAATGGTTGATTACCTGTCGGGCCCGAACATCGAACCACTGACCACAGAGCGCGAAGCGATGTGCGTGGACATGGGACCAAGCTGGATGGATGCAATTGTTACATTCCTGAAAGAAGGAAAGCTGCTAGACGACCACAAGGAGGCATACAAGATCAGATTGAAGTCGGCAAGATTCAGTCTAATAGCAGAGGGACACCTCTACAGAAGATCCTTCACTGGACCCTTTTTGAGGTGTGTACATCCTTCACAAGTGGAAGATTTTTTATATGAAATTCATGAAGGAATTTGTGGAAGCCACGCTGGGGGCAGATCACTCGCCCATAGGGCCATTACCCAGGGATATTGGTGGCCTTACATGCAGAAGGATGTAGAAGCATATGTGAAGAAATGTGAAAAGTGCCAGAGATTCGCACCACTGATACACCAACCAGCAGCAGACCTAAACCCTGTATCCAATCTTTGGCCATTTGCCCAATGGGGCATGGATCTCATTGGGCAACTACCCCAAGCAACTGGGTAAAGGAAGTACTTGCTGGTGGCAACTGATTACTTCACTAAGTGGATAGAAGCTGAACCCCTTGCCAAAATCCGAGATGTGGATGTAAAGAAATTCATTTGGAAAAATATCATCACCAGATTTGGGATTCCAAGAGCAATAGTTGCAGACAATGGAACACAATTTGACAGTAAGCTAATTAAGAGCTTCTGTGAAAATTCAAGATTAAGAACTACTTTTCAACACCAAGCTTTCCCCAAAGCAATGGACAAGCAGAAGCATCCAACAAAGCAATTCTGGACGGGATAAAAAAGAGGCTGCAGGCAGCAAAAGGAAAGTGGGTGGACGAGCTGCCCAATGTGCTTTGGGCATATCGGACTACACCGAGAAGATCAACAGGGGAATTCCCCTTTGCCATGGCTTATGGAACAGAAACAGTTATTTCGCTGGAGGTCGGCATCCCAAGAATCAAAACCCAGGGAGTAGAGAACGGAACTAATGATGTACTCTTAGCCCAGGATCTGGATCTTCTAGAAGAACGAAGGGAGAAAGCTGCGATTCAGCTCGTAGCGTACCAGCAGCAGCTTGCCAGAGCTTATAATAAGAGGGTTAACCCAAGGGAATTCCAAGTCGGCGACCTGGTCTTGAGAAAAGTCATCGGCAACAAAAAGGATCCCAGAGAGGGGAAGCTTGGCCCAAATTGGGAAGGACCCTACAGAATAATCTCGGTACTGGGTAATGGGGCTTATCGACTTGAAGATAATGAGGGCAAAGAGTTGCCAAGACCTTGAAACACTTTCAATTTGAAATTTTTCTATCATTAGAATTCCTTTGTTCTTTTGTCATTTGCCGAAGTAAATAATAAAGATTCAGCTTGGTTTTCTTTTCAAAATACTTGACATTGTCTCTAGAATACATGTATAATGAGAACCCAAGTAGAACTTAGGTTCACATGAGGGGGCAAAGAGAGGTGAAATCATTGTTTAACACTTGTTTAAATTTGTGGACAATTAACCGAAATCATTGTTTAAACACTTGTTGAAATTTGTGGACAATTTACAAGTTGAAGTTAAACCGAAATCATTGTTTAACACTTGTTGAAATTTGTGGACAATTTATAAGTTAAAGTTAATCCGAAATCATTGTTTAACGCTTGTTGAAACTTGTAGACAATTTAGAAGTTGAAGTTAAACCGAAATCATTGCTTAAACACTTGTTGAAATTTATGGACAATTTACAAGTTAAAGTTAAGCTAAGGTTAAACACTTGTTGAAATTTTAGGAAAATATTTACAAGATGAAACCAAGGTTATGCCAAGAAAAGTACTTGGGTACCTGCCGAGGTAAAACATTAGTTTGTATAACCGAGGTGTGTCACCCCGAGAAGATTGCACGAGGATTGACGTATATATTAAAGATATGCAAAAATATTCCAAGTATGGAGGCATACAAAGCAAGCATGCAAGCATTCAAAAGCAAAAGAGTTGTTGTATTAAAAACACATCGGCAATGTGAAGAAGTTTACAGTACTTCAAAAACGAAAAACAAAGTACAGGAAAAGAAGGGAAAAACATAAGGTTAAGACTCCTCAGCAGTAGCAGTTGGTTGAGTTTGAAGTTCAGACGATTGTTGGGAAGACATCTCAGCAGCCTTATCCGCCGCGAGCTCGGCGTCAATTTCTACAAGAGTTTCATCCAGGGTCTTGTCGGCAAGGGGAACGACGGCCGATGTCTTCTCAGTCGCAGTATCTTTTGGGACCTTTTCACCCTCCTCATCTTGAGTCAAGTCCAGGACTTGCTCATTCAGAGAAGGGGACTTGGTCCCAGTAGTCTCTTTTGATTTCCTCACCAAAACTTTCTCCTCGGCCTCATCCTCAGAATCAGATTCGTTGTCAGATTGACTAGGATGTGGAGTTGGAGGGAATGACAGGGGAATGGCATCGGCGTTCCTCAAGGAGGAGTCCTCAGGGACATCAAGTTTCTTCAGCAAAGTCATCCAACCAAGGGAGAAACCCTTGTTGCATGCTTGCTTGACTTGCTTTTCATAGGCCTCCGTGACATCGGCCATGCCCTGGGCATACGCCTTCTCGTCGGTGTCCTTGATTTCGGCCTCTTTGGTGGCCAAGGCGTCTTGAAGCTCTTTTTGGGCTTGGGCCACTTTATCCTCGGCCTCCTTCAGCTGGGCTTGAAGGACTTTGTTTATCGCCTCAGCAGCACCAACCTTCTCTTCAGCTTCGTCTTTTGCTTTAATAGCGACCTCGGCTTGATCCTCCAGGGTCTTCATCTTGGATTGCAAGTTTTTATTGGTTTTTTGAAGGCTGGAGACCTCCCTCTTCTTTTCAGCTAGCTTCTCACGGTTTTCAAAAGATTGAACTGAGAAAGAATGGGCGTGCTGGATGGCCTGAAAGTAAACAGAACAAAAGTTATTAGAAAAAATTACAAGTATGGAAAGAACAAAACGAAAGAAGAAGTTGCCAGATAAAGATACTTACTTGAACGGAACGTTGAAGCATCAGAGCGTAATTTTCATACTCGCTCAACTCGGCGTTTCGGTCAAGATCGCCGGGGAGAAGCAGAACAATACTGAGGGCTACGCCGATGTTGATGTCCTCAGCGCTATTGTTGGCCATGACAGGATTATCTTCCAGAGTGATTGCGGGGGCCCAAGGGGCATCAGGCTTTTTAGACCCCGAGGTTGTTGCAGAAGAGGACCTTGGCCTTTTGGATTTGGTAGATTCGGATGGAAGTGTTTCAGCAGACCTCTTCACGGGGACAGAGGCAGTTTTCTCACTCAGAGCCAGTTTGGAAGTTGGCAAGGTATCATCAGAATCGATCTGAGGCACCTTTGCCTTCGGCTGAGCCTTTTTGATTCGTTTTGGCTATGGAGAAGGCTAGGTTTGTGTTGGCTGAGCGTCAACGTCAGAGGGAATACTGGCTAAGAGATCTTTAGCAACCGGTTTTGGGCGGCCCATCTCAGCAGCAAGAACAAGTCGTCATCGACGTTTTCGTTAAGATGGGGGGATCAGGTATGGAGCCAAAGTAGACGGCTGTTCTGCTGGATCAGAAATTGAACCTTGGTCTAGCTGAGATGAGGTAGCAACTGAATGAGTTGTGGCAGAGGGAGGAGATAAGCTCTTCTTCTTTTGCCTCTTAGGAACGTCGGGAAGAGCTGATTTGTACGTCGAGATGAAATTTAGTACCAGTGGGGCCCTTTGCTTATAAACAAGAAGGTCCAGTAGTTTCTTTAAACCCAGACTTGGGTAAAAAGACTTGCGGAAGTCTTTTCCTGGTTTTGGAAGAGCTGCAAGGAAAAACAAACATCAGCAAATTTGAAGTATTAAAGATTTTGAAAGCAAGTAAATGTGAAATACAGGGCTCTTACCATTGCCCTCTACGAAAACTGTTCGAGGAAGAGGGTAGAGGTGGAGGTCCTCGTCTGGAGCAAATTCCCAGTTCTCCGAAGTAATAAAGTAATCATCTCCAGCTCCCTTGTTGGAGTCTAGGAGGTCGGCAACGATTTTGTACTCCGTTGACCTCGGCTTGAGGTAGTAAACATAGCCCGTGTCCTTTTTTAGGCTACACATGGTATAACAATATTGGATATCGGCTAAAGTGACCCTAACGTTCTCTTGTTTTGCTAAGGCTATGATGCCATTAATAACTCGGTAGGAGTTGATGGCGAGCTGCATTGGGTTTAACTTGTAATAATGGATAATCTCGCGAAAAAGAATGTTGAGTGGGAGCCGAAGTCCACACTCGATGAAAGCTACGACAGGAAGAGGCATGGAATCAGCTGTGGGCATAATAGAATCGTCCTCCCCAGCCAGCCTTAGATGGACATCGACAGGGATTTTAAACTCTATCCTAAAGTGATCTAATTTGGCTGGGGTATCTACCCTATGCTTCCACATACCCATAATATCGGCCTGAATTAGAAGAGTTGGATTTCAAAATGAAAGGGGTTTTGAAGGGTTTTAGGGACCTTGGCTAAAGCTTAAAATCTATGGGGAATCGTTTCAATTTTCCCTAAGAAGATTGTCTTAAGTTCTACAAACAAATCCCAAACCTAGATCTATGGAAGCAAAGATCAAAGGCACGAATCTGGAAAAGACACAGAAAAACAGAAAACAAAAGCGCGTTTCAAAATCAAGAACAAGGGGGAACTACCAAGAACACTGTGACAAAGTGTGTGAAAGGGCATAAAGACAAGAATAGTGGCCAAAGTGCAAACAATATTGTAAACAGTGCGAGTATTTAAGACATGGACAAAGGGCAAGGTCATGAAATAGAAGCACACTCAGATATATGATTCACAGATCGAATGTTTAAGCAAAGCAGTAATAGCGACAAGTTCAAGAAGAAATCAAGAAACTGAAATAAGAAGGAATAGTGGCTTACTAGAAAAAAAATGAAGCTAGTGTGAGGATCGCCGAAACAGTGAAAAACCGCCGGAAGGGATGAGCGGAACGAGTTGCAGAGCAAGGAGAGCTTAAACAATGGAGGATTTGGAGAGAAAAGCTAGAAAGAGAGAGAGCAACAGAGAAAATGAAAAGTGAAAGGGCAAAAAATGGAAACAAATTTTGTTAAAAATTGGAAACGGCGGCAAAAAGGCCATCAATGCGCCTAGGAGGACGGTTTTGTCAGACGGCACACGCAAGCGCAAGGCAGTTTTCAAGCGCGTCGCAGGTACGATCCAATATAGGAAAGACACGTGTCGTAAACAGTTGAATTATTGTGTATGACAGCTCATACGCATGAAAGGGTTCTTGAAATTCTTGTTCTTTAACGAAGACATGTCGGCCAACATAATGATCTCGGCAGAGATACTGTAAACCGACGTACTGGAAGGAAGTACCAATATATAGGTTCCATCACCTCAGAATGCCGAGGTAATAGAACCTAGGGGACAGTTGTGGGGATATATTTTCTGAGTACCAACACGTGGCTAAGGTGACGCCGACATGTCAGCCGAGGTGTCACATGTCCTGGTCATGGCGCGAGGTTATCTCGGTGAGGCTGACGTTATCTCCGAAGATATTGGAATCCGAGATAAGCGGATAAGGGACAAGAGTCCTAAAATGAGAGAAGACTTCAGTTAGGAAAGGATAAGACTCTTAGAGAGTTTATCCCAATCCTACTGGGAGTCCAAGATTAGTAGTAATCCTAAGTTCATTAGAGCTAGACTCCTATTGGGACTAGGATTGTGTTGACTATAAAAGAAAGGTACCCCCATGGGTCCAAGGTACGCATTTTATGTTCTGAACAGTGAATTTAGCACTATTGATTATCTTTGAGAGATATACTGACTTGATCGTCGGAGTGTCCCCGGGTGGACGAACCACCGCCGGAATCTTCTCTTTCTGTTGCAGGTTAGCCAGGTGTCATCTATTCTACCAGTGTTCTGCAGCTGAATATTGAGTTGGGCAGTGTGATCGGAAAATCATTCACACAAAAATATAAAAAAATAAGAAACAATTGTTGACTTTTTTTAATGATTTTTTGATTACTTAATTTTTTTTAAGTTTTTGGCTAATGACTTCGCAAACATAGCCTAAAAAGCAACTCTTTTTTTTTTGGGGGGGGAGGGCGGAGTGTCTTTTCTATTTTCTTTATTTATACATTATTTTTCTAACTTGATTACAAAAAAACCGATTAAATTACATAAAATAATTTTTAATTTATTTATATCTTAAAATAATTTTTAATTTATTTATATCTTTAATTATGCATATGCATACTAATATCTATATTAAAATATAAAGCGTACATGTCAATTTGGTGTAAAGGTTTATCAGAACTCTGATCACATTTTTTTGAAATTGAAAGATGAGCACAACAATTAATTAGTTTGAAAACTATCATGTAAAAAAAAAAAGAAAAAAAAAAGATTCAAATGTTTAAAACTCCACAAACATAGACGTTTTCGATTCATCTTCAATATTCATAAACTACAAATCTTTGTGTGCATCCATCACTAGTATATGGTATGCATACACTGGTGGTGGAAGGGGCAAGTGAATTAGGATTAAGGGCTAGAGTTTGGGTTGGGGATTGAAGATAGAAGATGAAGAAAAGGATAAATATGTCTTTACAAATTGACATTTGATATTGAAAATTTTCTTCTCCAATCTCTAAAAAGGAACAATTTTTGCCTATTTTGGATGAAAAATGCAGCCATAATACTTTTGTTGAAAACATACCCAGAATGAAGGATGATAGATATAAAATAGTAAGGTACTTTTAGGTTCAATAATCACAACTTGTATTTATATTTTTTACAATTACAACAAAAAAAATCCACATTTAATTTGCAGAGTTTTAGTTTTAGTCTTGCTTTACCGTTAGATCTGTATTTACAATACACTTTAAAAATGAGAATTTTTTTTTTTGGGTATTGTACGGGAAAGAAATAAACCTTCTTGTATAATCCTATTGATCAAGTCTGTGCTCCTCCAAACGTTGTCGCTTTACTCCCTGAAAACACAAACGTGAGCTAGCCGGCGGGTGTGTGCCGGAAACCTCTCTGATGCCTAAGTCGGTAAAATAGACAAGAAGACAAAAGCTCTGTATATCCAGGAATCAAAGTTGTGTTACCTCTCCATAGGTGATGTTTGTGAGCTTTTATAGGTTCCGTGTGGCACAATCCAAGTAGGACTCTTACTCCTCCATGTAGAGTCCTCCTAAGATTCATACTCCTGAAAGATAATACCTATCCTTCAACACCCCCCTCACTGTTTAAACCAAGTGAGATGGTTTTACCATGGTCGGACTCCAATGTGGCCGAGGTACGCATGGCTATGCTTAGCCGTAGAACAGACCGAACTATCCTTAGTTCGGTTCGTCCTTTTACTCCCCTTACCTCAGTTCCTCCTGTACAAACCGTGGTAAGTCTAAACCAAGCTAACTTTTAGCAAGGTTTAGACCGAGCTAACCATACTGCGCCATAACCGGTATAAGTTTTAGTATGGTGACCGAGCTAACCTCCTTGGGACTGGAGTAACTTTACACCTCTCTTGGGTCGAAGTAACTTTATGGCCTTTTTACTCAGCCCTTCGCACTGTGGCCCATACCGGCCTATTACCCAGCTCAGCCCAATTTTCATATAAATTACCCTCTCAGGTATAGTGGAATGAAAAAACACACAAACAGGGACTAAGCCCTTTCCCTAGCTAACCTAAACATATCAGAGACCAAAAGTTCTCTGATTTCAGCAGGTGGGTCGTTTACAACAAGGATGTCCTCGGGTTGATCAGCTCCAAGTTTAGCCATTACATATGCACATAGATTTCCTTATCTGTAAGTGTGTTATACAGTGCATAAACAGCCATTAAAGATTATCCTTGCATCTTCCACTAGGCCTCAGAGTAAATGATGGTCTCCAGGACCTTCTTCAAGTAGCTTCACTACTTCAGTCGCATCTGTTTCAATTATCACTTTGTGGAAACCTCTTTGAAGGATGATGGTGAGGCCTTTGTAAACAACCCATAACTCTGCCTCAAGGCTGGTACAAGTC